ACGATTAGGCGAAAAATGAATAATCGGTGAACGGTATCGGAATCATACACGATGCAATGAGCTCCCTAAAGATAACTGTGCGAATCGTGTTCGATTCTCTCTCGGTGATTCGTTATATGTCGTACTTTGTGTGTATGTGTGTGTGTGTGTCGATTTCTTGCGACGCATGGTCTCAGAAGCATAATGCCGTTAACACAAAATATGCAAGGAGAACGTACGCGGCAGATAATACAAGATTAGGATTTTACGAGCGGCTCCGTGCAAAAGGCCACTTTCCACTCGCCTTTTTTTTTTACAGGTGAACACTCGTTGCGATAAATCCTTCCTATTGCCGTGTACGTACAACGTGCTCATGAGTTTACGATAACCATTCGCAGAAAGAAAGAGAGAAAAAGAGAGAGAGAGAGAGAGAGAGAAAGAGAGAATTCGTTTAAAATTTTTCATTGTGAACATTTCTGTATTTAAATATTGTTTTAATTTCTCTTTTTCTTGTTTGATTTGATGTAAAACTATTTTTTTCTCTTTGATTTTTTGATTCAATCATTATTAGAACTTGATACACACTGTATATATTTCACGAAAAAAATGATAGTATATATACAATACAATAATTTAAAAAATCTAAAAGAAATCTAAAATATTTGTACAATTTTATATGCATTAATATCTTTAAAGGTCAGTTCCGATTTTACAACCAAGAATATATAACAATTTATGGATCATACACCACCGGATTGCAAAATGATTATTAATCAGTGTTATTACTCTATTAATTTAATTTTATTTTCTTGTTTTAGATTTTAATGTGAACGTTGTAGTAGTCTATTATATTAAAATTTATTTTTATTTTTATTTTATCTATTTTGCCTTAAAATTTAGAAATATTTTATTTAAAATTTGGAATAATTAATTTATGATGTATTCTAAAAACTAATTTTATAGTATATCGCTGTAGGATATACATAACTTCGACACATTACTACGTATAGGCGACGATCCAGATTTTCTAGCCAGCAGTGCTATTTCGCTAGAAGTACTGCTATCTATTTTAAACGTTCTATGATAGTTAGGATGGCATTTTCTAAAAATATAAAGTCTAGATAATTTGTCGAGTGGTTGAAACGAACTATTCATTTCTTTGTTACTCTTCCGTTGTTGAATGATATTTGCTGCTTTTAATGCTTTGTCCTAATGTTAAATTATAATTTTTGTATTAATAACTTCATTATTCTACGTATAATAAAAGAATCAACATTTTCGAAACGGTATAAATAAGTAGCGAGTTGAAAAATAAAATTAGACAGGTAGCGCCATAGAAAAGAATAATAAAAAAAGATGATAAAGATACAAGAAAGATCTTTGCGTCATCAATTTGAACTGTATGAAATAATAAAAATGTGAATTTATAGAAATACACTGTCATCTGTTGTCCTTCAATTCGACTCCCACGCATTCGAGTCATCAAGCTATAATATATAATAATTTATTGAAAAATAAAAGTAGAGATTTAGGATAATCAAAAAATAAGAAAGAAAAGAAAAAGAAATGGCGTGTTGTCTCGAGGGTTTTCCAAAGCTTGTGCCGATGGCATTTGCTATCGCAAGAAGGAAATCGGTACACCTTGAAAAAAAAAAAAAAAGAAAAAGAAAATAAAAAAGAAACTTGGAAAGAGCAGTGGCCTCTCAGAGGAAGGCAGACTCCACGTGGCAATGACAGGAGTACCTGCTTGGCCAAGGTTGAGCCAAGACGAGAAAGCATCGTGGCTAAAATCTATCTTCCCTTCGGAGTGATCCTGGATTGATGCCAAAGAAACCGGCAGACGTTAGTCATCCCGCGGGAGCTAGAATTGTGGGAAGAAAGTCGAATACCGAGGGAGAGAGAAAGAATTGACTTGGTTCGTCTTCGTCGACTTCCTCGTCGCTCGGTGGAGCGACCGCGGTTGGCTAATAAAAGACAAGGGTAACGTAATTCCACCCGCACTCCAATAATAGTACCAACGTTAAACGATGCTTCCGTGGTTGGTATGCTGGTCGCAGACACTCTCGTCTAACGAAGATGTGCGTACGTTCTCGTCAAATAATTATTAACTTTGTCTTCTACTGGTTTTACGTATATTTTATTTCACTAAATTTTCTTCAAGTCATTTATTTTTTTATATCTTTTCATAGTAGCGATGTGTGAAAGAATATCTGAAAAAATAAGAGATCATTGATTTATTTTAAATAATATATTTGTAACATTTCATTTTTATTACGTTCACTTCTGATACACTCTCGCTATGATCTATAATCAGTACTTATATTTAGAAATATCAGTGAATAAATCTAACGAATGTATTTTGAAAACGCAATTCGCAATTGCGAGAGGTAGGACCGATTTATGATGAACTTTTTCCAAAAGAAATATATTAAGAGAAGAGAAGTATAGTGTAAATAATGCATTGAAATTAGTCATGGTGTAAAGTAAAAGCGTTCGATGCGTCGAATGACAAATTCAACGAGACAAGAAGCCCTTTTTTTTTTTATCGTTATTGGCAGAAAATCAGCAGCGGGACTGTCGTGGGAGGAATACGTTTAAAGACGTGTATTCGTGGATTAAGTTGTCCGAGAGAAAGTCGACTTTTCCATTCACTTGGCATGGCCCTCCCACCTCGCGCCTTTTCCAATTCCTATCGATTATACGGCCACCGAGAGAGATTACACAACAACGTTGTTGGACGACTTGTAACTCGAAGAAGAGAAAGAACCAACGAACCAACAAACGAACGAACCAACGAACGAACGAACGAAACGAGGACCTGAGGATATTGATATGGGTCAAAATCGACGATAAAGTTGCCTTCAAAGAGTTCGCGTTTAGCGATACCGGTATTTTTCTGCTCGATATTTCGTAAGAGTCAACGTTTAATTAATCAAAAACCATCCGTATGAGGACGTTTTTGGAAGCTGCGTGTTTGCCAAACTACACGCTTCTCTATACTATTTATTTTCTCATTACTCGAATCGATTAAATTTAAGATATGTAATAAATACATTGAAAACGTTGCTTCAGATTAATCATTTCGTAATGATATGTTCCAAATAAAATGTTATCTCTGTAAAAGGAAGGCATCGTTTACAAATTGATATTAAATAAACGAAATATTTGGTCAATGATCGAAACACCATTGAGTTTTTTTGTTATTTAATTTTGTAATGAATATAACGCGATTTGTAATAATATATTTGTAGAAACATTTCGTTCAAGGTATACAATTTTATTGAATACCCAACTTTATTTGTATTAGTATTTTCGTATTAAAAGACAAAAATTGTTCCATCTGGAAGAAAGAAAAAATACTCAGAATGGATGTTTAAGTTATCAATTTTGTAATCATCATGATGTAAATAATGTTGAAAATAGAATAAATTATCGAATTGTCTATAAACGAGAAGATATTTCTGACAAGACAGCTTCTCCATTTTAGATATCAGAAGAAGTTAAAAAGAATGAATTATCAATGTATTAACATTCTAAATGTACATAGAATTCGTTGAATATCTAATTCTGATTAGAAATGTTCCTTAAATAAGAAGGGAGAAATAAATAAAAAAGAAATAAAAAAGAAATAAAAAAGAAAAAAAAAACGTTGTTTTTTTAAAAAGGCAAAGAGAAACATGCGAAGGTAGAAGCAACGTGAGATCGAAGAAACGCTTTCGAAAAATTCCTGTAACGTGGCTCCTTTTGCTTGTCGCTGGCGGATTCCAGCAGCTGATCGGATTTCGTTGATGTCGATCGGAGAGTGGACGACACGCGACTCGTACGACGACTCTTAAAGAGGACTCCCAAGGAGTCGATTCTTGACGACAGCTGAAATCGAGGACGACTTGATCTCAGAGTCAAACCAACAACCTTCGAATTTTTCGGAGTAACTCGAGGCGGAAGACTTTCTTTCCAACGTTCATGGGAACGAGAGTTCAAAAATGAATGTTTCCTTATACGTTGAAATATCTCTTCGACTGAACTCGATTTTTAACAGCTGCGTGCCCCAATGAATTTATCTGTCTTTATTTCTCATTAATCTTTTTTAATTTCATTAATATCAAACGTAAGTAAAAAAAAAACAAAAGAAAATAATCTATAGTGAATAAAATATAATCTATAATCGACTCTTGAAATCTTTTTTTCTTATTTCTCGAATATCCTAAATTCAGGAAAGTATTATCGAAGGAAAACAAACTTGGAAATTTCCAACCAGTTGAAATGAGGAGAAACGACTCGGTTTTTTTTTACCGAGTATCCTACTTTAACAGAAAAATGAGACTAAAATGTACGAGGAGAGAAAGAGACGTTGCTATTATCGATGATGTCAGAAAACGTACGATTTCCAAAGCGAAGAAGGAGGTCTCTATAACCTAGGCCAATAAATTTAGGAGGATTGACGCTGGCCGGTCGTTTACCCGTTCCATTTCATTCGGGTCGGATCGTTAAATGGGTTCTCTACTTTTTCATTTCCTTTTCTTTTTTTACATTTGTTTTTCTGTAAAATGTCGGAAGTCTGCATTTTGAATGTTCACTAAAATAGAAAAAGGCAATGCTTTGAACTATTGATGACACGTAATTCCTCGTCCAAGATAGAAATTAGACGATCTATAGTAGAAGATTTAGGCAGCCAGGTCGCGAAAGGACAGAGTTGCTAATTTTGGCTTAAGACTCCCGTCAGCTCCCACTTCGAATGCTTATCTTTTATTAAACGTGAAACGGAAAATGGTTCATCATTTCGAACGTCGAAATTAGATCTTACACTTAAATGAGAATGTCTGTTTTTTTTTTTTATTTGAGAAATAAATAAAAATGAGTTCTTTTATAGAAATTTTTCATATAAAAGTCTTTATGAAATTTTTTAACGTCAGATAAATAATCGTAATTGATGAGAACAATTTTTATTTATTTTCGAATCGTATATATATTTTTATCCTTTTTTATTTTGTACATCTTTGTTTTTATCAATTTTCTTGCAGATCATTGGAAGTTTTCGAGCAATACGGAAAAACACATAGCGAAATTTTAAAAGAACAACGATTGGAAGGTGGCTCAGGTTTAGGAGGTCCCTTGCGTTATGCTAATGCGATTATTTTCTTGCTACGATGCGATAAGGTAAGTTTCTTTTTTGTCATTCGAATTTATATTTAATATTACAAATTTCATATATAATATATTAATATTAATTGACGTTGTTCCTGCGACACATTTATTAATAATTAATATTAATGTTCTCCAATATATTCAAATAACTTTTTGATTAACGATAAATACGAAAGATTTATTATAAATTTTAATATAGAAAAACAACGGGGAAAAAAATTGAAAAGAATTGGAGGGCTTTCACTCTAAGCCAAAATAAATCCTTTTCCAGAGCATCGATCCTTCTTCTTGATAAACGTGGCTTTCCGCTATAATCTATACTTTATTCGGAAAGACATTCGCGTAATCGATAGTAAAGCAACGTCCAAAGTGTCTTCGTAAATATTTCAAACTCAATGTCCTAGATTTTCTACCCGTTACAAATTCAAAATCCACGAAAGCTGGAAATTATTTGGGTTCTTTCGCTTCCGCGATTTCGTGATCGAAAAGTCTATTCTTTTACGGCTCGCTGATCATTCTGAAGATACATCTTGAAGCGGACCTTTTCTTTTTTACTTTCCTTCTTTCTTTCTTTCATACAATTGGGAATTTCCACTGAGTGGGGGAGGGGGGGACATTACATCGAGCGGTATATAATCGGAAAGAAGAATAAGTTACATTTTACGAACGAACACTATTGGCAACCGGATGAATTTGATTAATTTCTTTTAATGAATTTTTAATATCTAATTTTAAATTCTCTATTTTGTCTTATGTAAAAATCATAATGTATTTAAATCTACTGCAAATAGCCCAATATATCATTTTTATACAAGAAACATTTACACACAATATATAATTAAGAATTTCATCATTTTTTCATTAATTATACACAAGGTAACATTATTATTAAAATTATTAAATTATTAATAGGACTAGAAAAAAGAAATTAAGTCTCCCCAAATACGTATCTATAAAGTATATCTTTTGAAAATTAAATACCAGGAATTGTATTTATGTGTGTTTATATAGTGTAGACAGGAAATCGTTCACGCTCGTAGATATTATAAGTATGTATGAATAAATATACACACGTAGATTGCACACGTTTAAGCTCTGATTACAAGAGAGCCTATATAAAGTTACCGAATCTAATGCTCATGTTGCTGTTTTGCGCTATCTTGAGAAACAAGTAGGTGCTGCGTACGCGAGATCATATTGTTGTTACTTCATCGAGAACATTAAAGGTGGCCGCTATGCAGGATAAACTCGCAACCGGAAGTTTTAATTACAGCGAAGTACCATAATAACGATTTCTCGTATTCCTTTATTCGAATGCGGTATAAAATTGATTTTTGTCATTTTCTCCTTCGAACGATGAAATGTGGAGACACTGACGATTTTAATTTATTTCTCACGTCTTTGTGTTAATTTGTTTTTTCGTATTTAATTTATTATAATTTTTTACTTTAGTACATTTGTATTCGTTCATTTGTTATAATTTACGGGTAGATCGTTTTCGATCTTCTCGGTGAATTTAAAAACGTAATCGTTCGCGTTTAATTCTCCTCTTTCTTCCCATTTTTATTTCTCTTTGTATTCGTTCGTTATTCCCATCATCGTAATCTCGGTAGAGCGGTATTATTAGACACGAAAGTTTAATGGGTTACGAGCAAAGTTTATATCCAGCTGGCATGTACGTTCTCATGAATCACGAGAATCGACACTTTTTAATTACGACAACGATCGAAATCCACGGATGTAATAATTGAACTTGATGTGAAATGTTTTCTCGAGATACATCTTTGCTTTTGTTATTGTGGGATATTTCGAGTTAAACGTTGTTCATTATATGATCCAATCACAAATATTTTAGTCGTAATATGAGAGAGAGATATAAAACATTTAAATAGTTACTAAAAGAATTTATCAAATTATCCAGTACATCAAAATGAAATAAATAAAGGAATAATAGGTATCTAATACTAATCAACAGTAATAATAGTTCATTTATTTCTTTTGAAGTCCTATGTTAAGTATGAATAAATTATAAGAGAATAATTAATGAATAAATGAGGGAAAAGAAAGAAAGAAAGAAATAAATGAAGATTAGAAATAATATAAAAAAAATCGAAGTAAAATTATTGGCGAAAGAGTATAAGCAAGCAACGGTTTTGCTAGTATAGTATAGAGACGGCAATCGAAACAGCAGCGTTATTCTGACAAAAGTGCCGTTACTTAACGCCGCGTCGGTTTCAGGGAAAGTTCGAAGTAGTCGAGTTGGTCGTTCCGATCGCATGCTCGCTCGATCAAACGTAAATTTCCACGGGGCACTCGCTTGGAAAGAAATTCTTCAACGGTTCAAACGTTCTTAGGCTACTTTACCTCCAGAGGCTGTAAACGAAGCTGACAAGGCCGACTACGATCGACCACTACTACTTACTTCCGATTTCGAAAGGTTCTCGCGGTCCGGCGACTCGGTGGTACCAATCGGTTGGCCACGTTAAGGTATTTGTGTCGGTACCCCGTGGATTTTAATTCCTCCATGGAACTCGGATAGATTTCGATCGGATAATTGGACTTTACGTTCGTGCGTTTGTACCTGCCTTTCGTTTCGTTTACCCTTCGCTTGAGGTTAAATGGATATCGTGTTGTGCTTCGAACATGCTTTGAAAAATGGTACCAATGGTCCGAGAATCTAATACCCTTACGCTATTATATTTTCAAACACTTTCTATTTAAAAAAAAGGGTCTCCTATTTCATTAAATCTCTTGATATTTTATCGAAACTATACTAAACGATAAAAGAAATGATTAACATTATTAATGTCTTATTTCGAGTATTTAATATAATTTCTGTTTCTTGTTTTATATATTTATTTTTCAAGATTTTACAATGACATTCCAAACTTTAATACTTGATATTAAATCAAGGTTTGAAGATATACATTTTGTTTGAATAATGAACTTATTTTATACGACCAAATTTATTTTAGACAATATTTATTACTAATTTATAATAATAGAGCCAAGTCTATATATATTTCACCTATGTATACCCATATATTAATAAACATTTACAGATAAATCAATTTTCAAGATAATATTATAACAAATACAAAATAGTTTTGATCTATGCTTTTTCATAACTGCTTTGTACTTTCATTTCTGTGCTAAATCGGGTGGGAGTTTGTGCGAACGATTTCTTGTTGACAGGCGGCATTTGTGTTGCGAGAAAAGAGAAATAGGTCGAGTTAAAATATTAGTCGGTGGAGAGTAATTTCACCCACGTCGTTGACATGGCCGGGTGTCGTGCGACGAACCCTCTTGAAGTAACCCAAAGAAAAATTACTCCCTCCTCTTTTCCGTCATCGCCTGTAATTTAAGATAAATCGCCTAGTTCCGTAACTTTTTTTCTCTTTATTTTAACGATGATCTCTCTCTCTTTCTCTCTCTCTTTCCTATTCCTATTCCTATTCCCTTTCTTTTTTCGCTAATTATAACAGGAAAACGAATTCACTCGGGTTCGGATAAATTCAATTGTTGTTTCGTTGAATTTAAGTCAAAAAACATGTTCATTTACGAAGTGTACCTAATTCTTTTATTGTTTTTTTTTTTTTTTAATGATACTTTCTACAAAGTATATTTTAGTTATTATTAGAATTTATTTGATTTGATTTATCGATTTGTCTTTTTTCTTTTCTCTGAAGGAACGTCTTTTAAAATCTTTTTTTTTATAGAAAAGTTTCTTTTCTGAGTAGACTATTTCTTTCCATCAATTATGGCTTGTCGATCATTTTACACCTTACCTCTTTTTCCTATCCTTTGCCTATCCCTCTTTCTCTCTCTTTCTCTCTCTCTTTTCTTTGCTTCCTTTTCTATCTTCAATGCGATATCAACTCGAAGTTCCACTTGAAAAGCTAAAGTTTATGATGGGAAAAAGATCATTCTCTTTCTCTCTCTCTTTCTATCTCTTTCTTTTTCTTATGGGTAACTAAGACGATTGAGTGTTAAAACGATTTATGGAAAAATAAGAAGAAATAGAAGAGGTGGGGAAGAAAAAGCAAAAAAGGAAAAAAAGAACGTGTTCCGTGATAAAAAAGAAATAAAGAGACATGATCGTTAATTTATCGAGCGGATACTAATTATTATCGGAGTCATAAGTCCGTGGTAGACTTGCGTGAAACGTCTAGTCAATCTTCTAAGAAAAATTCTATCTGATCAGGTCGAAAATCTCGTTTGCAATTATTTTCCAACGATCCGAGAGCCCCGTATCTTGTTTAATATTTTACTTCCATATTTATATGTAGAACATTATCTATGATTGACGTTATTTTTAGAAGTTCTCGTACGTGCTTCTTCGTTCTGAACGTTTTTAGCACGTACTCTTAACGTGATCGTTCGAGCCAAGTTCCGTGTACCGTTGCTTTGTAAAGTTCAAGGTTACGTTGAGATACTACTCGGTAAAGCAATCTGTCCAATTACTGTCAAGTCCGATTTTTATCTGGTGAATCAGTTGGTCCTTTTGCATTTATTAAATAATTTTCTATCGATAACTATAAAAATATGATAATCATTGAGATGAACGATTGGACGTTCTTCTTCTAAATTTTTTTTTATTTATTTAACAGTTTTTTTTATCGAAGGAGAAACTGAATAGAATCAGTAGGAATAGCAATCATTTATTATATCATGAAAGTTTATAATTTTAACAATCACGGTTTTCCCAAACGATACGTCTTTCTTTGCCGCTCATATTTTAACACTTATCGCGTAGCCACATAGGACCAAATAAAATTATGCAAATTCTATGAAGAATTAAATCGTGCCGTAAAGATAGTTTATTACTATAAAACATATTCACAACGATATAACTATTATTAAGTTAATTTTTAAACAAAAAACTTTTTCCCATAAAACTTCTTAAATCTTGACGGTTTATTGCCGTTATTCCTTTTTATAAGTTTTCTTATAAAGTTAGATATATATAAACTTTACGAAGAAATTAAACGAAAGTTGAAAAAACCAAACGC